TGAGTCAGCCTTCCCCTTTCTCACACTCCTCTTCCTACCAGCACCAGCCTCGGCCCAGGCCCCAGCACTCACTCTTCATGAGGTCTAGGTCGGCTGTGGCCAGCGTCTGCGCCTCGCTCTCATCTGTGGGCACGCGGGGCAGTAGCGCCTGCTCGGCCCCGGTCATGCTCCCAATGCGCCGCCTCTCCTGAAGGTTGTAGCTGCGATGCCCGGGCTGGGCTTTGGTCAGGGGGCGCCCGGAGGCACCCCCGTTATCTCCTCCTGCTGTGCCACTGGCCACCACTGCCACCTCTTCCACCGGGACTCTGGAGAGACAGAGCAGCCTTGAGCCCAAGAAAGTGGCCTTCTCCCCTACACCCAGCACCACACAGGGGAATGCAGGATGGGGACCAGACCCCCCCGCCCCCGTCCTATGCTCTCCCCCCCCCTCAGAAGGTGGGTGCAGGAAGTGGGAGACTTCCGGAAGCAGTCTCTAGCTGTGCGCCCTGAACAAGTACCCCCACCAACATCAACTGCTCAGCAGAGTGGGGCTAAACCCCTCATGGTGCTAAGAGAGGTGAAATTTGGGAAAAGCACCAGGGCAGGGCGTGGCTCGCAGCAGGTGATCAAAAACATTACTTTGCATTCAGTCCCTAGCCCCTCAGCCCTGCCCCCACACACCCCTACCACAGGACTCGGGAGGTGGCCAGAGTTAGGCATCACTAATTAAAGGGGTCTTTGAGGTGGAACAGGCCTTGGAAGCTGCCGATGGCTTCCCTGAGCTTGTGGGGAGGGCACAAATATCTCATCCTGGACTGGGCGCTATCCTAGCAGTTAAGACACTGCTTGGAACGCCGGCGTCCCAGACTACAGTGTCTGAGCCCCGGCTCTGCTCCTCATTCCAGCTTCCTGATAACGCACACTCTGGGAGGCGGGGCTGGTGGCTCAGGTTCGTGGGAGCTTGCCACCCATGTGAGAGACCCAGACTCCTGGCTTTGGCCTGGCCCAGCCTTGGTGGCTGTGGGCATTTAGGGGGAATAAACCAAAGGATGCGAGAGTTCTCTTGCCTTTCGAATTAATAAAACAAAACAAACGAAAACAACCAAATTCAAATGCCTCATCCTTGGCAGGCGCTGACTTCTGCTGCTCTCCCCATTCTGTGTCAGCGCCCCAGGCCCGACCCCACCTGCCTCCCTGTCCTCCTCTCTTGATACTGAGATGCTCCATTGCTCCAAGCCTACTTCCCCTCCTATGACAGAGCTGTCCACTGCCAGGCCCTCTCATCCACTCCCGTCCTCGGAGCCCTCACTGTGCACACCCTTGTCCACTGCCCCCATCCCGTCTCCAAGCCAGGCCTTCTCCGAGGCTCCTGCTTCCTCCCGGCTGGCTGACATCAGAGGCCAGCTCCATCCGCACAGCCCGTCTCCTCGGCGTGCCCCTGCACTCTGCACCTCCGTCAGCCCTTCGCACTACCTGGCACCCAGAACACAACAGGTCTGTGATAGCAGCGACCTTCAGACAGGCTCAAAGTCATTTCCTCCAGGAAGCCGTCCCTGACTAGTGCCCCCAAACTCAACTCTAGTCTCCTGCTGGTACTGACGCTCTGTCTGAGCCAGGCCACTGCGTGCAGGGACAGCATCCTGGAGCCGTGTCACATGATAACTCTCGGTTTCCAACTGGGGTGGACGAGCAGCTCCCCAGGAATGATGGGGGTTCCCTATTCTTCTCCAACCCTGGGGCAGCACTGGGAGGCCACCAGTTCAGTTCCCCGGCCATAGCTCGATGCCACTTCTGACATGAAGGGTGGAGGGCCAAGCGAGGGGTGGGGGGCAGCTTAGCCTATCTGTTCCTTGCCTGGCCAAACCACACTTAGAATCTTAGCTCACAACACCCTTTAATCCCTACACCACCCAGTGAGAAGGCTTCTATTACACCTACTCTACAGACCATGGGCCAACTTGAACCCCAGCCTGATGACTTCACGGTCCACTCTTTTCCGTGCATCACCTCAGCGCTCTAGCAAGGGAGAGCCACTTGTTGACTGGGGTGTACTTACCCCGTCTGGGCCCCTTTGGTGGCCCAAGGGGCTGCCTCTTGGTGGGGCAGCAGTGTAGGAGGAGATGGGCTGGTCCTCTCTGCCTTCCGCTCCGCACCTTCATCCTCCTGGAGAAAGAACTGCGACACGGACCCTTGTGGGCAGAAGGGACAGGCCAGGGCCCTGCAGGCTTCCCCAAGTGCCCAGGGCCTCCCTCACCTGTACCGAAGAGGGAGTGGAGGCGGGGGATGGCTCAGTGGGTGCCCTGGCCCCCTCAGCCTCATTGGCCTCTTCCTCATCTTCCTCCCCCTCCTCAATGGTGGGGGTTTCTCCAGTTGGGGAGGCTCCAGGGCGCCTTCGAGGCTTCCGTCCTGGGCCCTGAGGGGTCTTGCGGCGGCGAGCATCCGGTGGAAGGTGGGTGGACAGCGGGTGATGGATGTGGTGAGAGGACTGCCGGTGGTCTGCAGGGAGGAAGGGGCTTGGCTGCTGGCAGGCAGAGTCCCCCCCAGCCATCCTGGCCCCCAACCCCAGCCCTAGCTCAGCCGAGCCTGAGCTCTCTGCCTCCCCCGCACCCCTGCCTGTCCCTCACATTCAAAGTCTTCCTCCCCATAGCTGCGGCCTGGTTCCTCCCCTCCACGAGACCCGGCTTCCTGTAGGATCTCTTCAAACCGCTCCACGCCCAGGGTGCGGTGCAGTTCATCCTCCTCCTGTTCCGGGAACCCAGGTGTCCCAGGGCCCAAGCTCTCTGGCTCTGGCTGCAAAGAAGAGGGGTAGCCGAGGTCACACAGGGGCTCACTGGGAACTGGACTCCAAAACCCTACCCTGCCCAGCGCTGGAGATCCAGTAGCCTCCGGGCAGTGGATCCCTGGCTGCCAGTACCCTCCCTAACACCAGGGACCCAGTACCCTCTCCCACCCCCAGCAGTCTCCCCCCTCCAACACACTCTTCGGCAAACGGTCCCCTCAAATCTGGGATCTGATACCCCCCATAATCTGTTCCCTCCAATGCCAGGAACTCAGTCACCCCCCGGCTGCCCGGACCCTGTCTTGCAGTCAGTGTCCATCAGTTCTGGGGCAGGCGAAAGGGCCCAGTCTGGAGATCCCAGCAGACATCCCGTGTGTCCAGCCCTTCTGCAGCCTGGAGGGAGGGTGTGCTAACTGGGCAGTCCACATGGCAGAGAGTGAAGAAACTCCTTTTGGCTACAGGAAACCTGCTGAGCCCCAAAAGTAAGTTCTGGCGGCCCCCACAAGCTAACTGATTCAGAGTAGGCATGAGTCACGCACACCCAGCCCTACTAGGGACAGGAACATGCACCCTTCACCTAGCCAGCAGAGCCCCCTATTCACAGCAGCAAGCCTGGCCCCACCAGCCCCTCAGGCAGCGAGCCCCGCCCCTCACCCCACCCCCACTCCCCCCACCTGAGTCATCCTGCGGAGCGCGGCAGCAGCAGCAGACAGCCAGGGCAGGGCCAGCCGGGCAGGCAGGGACTGCGGTGGCGCCTGGGAGAGCTTAGCCCAGCAGAGCTGGGGCGGGCAGCCTTGGTCCAGCCCCCCACCCACCCCCTGCCGGTCTCTGCTCTGGGCGCCGCCAAATATTTGCTCAGGAGCTTCTGCACTTCAAGGGCATCGGGACCTCCAGGGGCGGGGGTAGGCAGCCCCTCCATGGCAATACCGGCGGCTAGCGCAAGGAAGAGCCAGGGTAGGAGGGCCAGGGTGAAGGGCGGGTCCTGGGGAGACACCGAGGAGTGGGGAGCTGGAGCCGCTGGAGCCGGCGGGGACACTGGATACGAGAGGACGACAGGGTCAGGCTGGCTTCTCCTTTGCACAGAGGGCTCCTGCCCAGCCCATCGCCACAGCTGGAGCCCGGCTCCCACCAGAAGCAGAACCGCAGGAGGAAGCAGGCGGGAGAGGGCGCAGGGAGCCAGCCTGGGGAGGGGGGAGGGGCGGCGGACCCCTCGCACCTGAGGCCGCAGGAGGAAGTCCATGACCGGCAGGGGTGAACACGGGAAAGAGGGGAAGGGCACGGGCCCGCACCCCTTCCCAGTCACGTGCCCTACTGGGCCAAAGTGACCAATTACAGGGCTGACTGTGGCACCTGGGGTTAATCATTAGCCTCCTTAGGGAAATCTGGAGGGGGCCACGTGGGGCGGCGGCCACGTGGGGGGCGGGGGAGCGGAGGGGCGGGCCTGGGGAGCACGTGGGGCAGGGGGCGGGGCGGGGGCGGAGCCAGCCGTAGACGCAAGTCCTAGCCAGAGAGGCGCTGCGCGCGAGCCTCCGTGCCGTACCAAGGCCGGGTCTGAAGGGGTCGCAGGGTTGGAGACCCAGGATTTCCAAGGCTCCTGTTCCACTAAGGCTAAACTACCGTCTAGGTCTTCAAGAAACAGTCTTTAACTCTTTCCCCAAGGATTGAAAGGTTCTCGATCGCGCCACAAGTTGCAAGACCAGGGTAGGGATGGCAGTAGGTCTCCCCAAAACACCACAGCCTCCTTCTCCGAGCTTACACCCATACACACACACAAGCGCGCACCCGGTTGGCGTGAACCCTGTGCCAGAGCAGCTGTGGCCGCCAGCATGGGCGGGGGGGGGGGGGCGGCGAAAGACCCCGCAGGCACACTCACCGGTTCTGAAAGAATCTGCGCCCGAGGCGGGGCGCCGGGGGGCGCTGCTCATGGCCAAATCTTAGCCCTTTTCGCTGTCGCTGCGGCTTTCAGAGCAACAAGGCGGAGGCATAACCTGGGTGGGGGAGAGGACCGATCACCATCTGAGCAGGCCAGGCGCCCGCCACGCGGGTCCCCTCGATGCTCAGGATCCCCTTCGACTTCGAAGAGCCGAAAGGGTGGCCCTCAGAGGCGGCGAGAGCAAAGAGGAGAGTTATTTATAGGAAGGAGAGAGACGAACAGAGAGAGAGAAGAGGAGTGAGAAGGAGGTAGCCACGAAGCGCCAAGGGACTGAGCGCAAGGACGGGAGGGGGAGGAAGCGAGCGCGGCAGAGATCAGGGAGGGAACGATAAAGAGTGGAGGGAGAACGGGAGTGAGGGCCCAGGCAGAAACAGGAACCCGGGAGGTGGGCCCGAGACCAGAGACAGGGGTGTGGTGGGGAGAGGGAGACACCCGCGGAGCAGAAGCTGCAGGGAGGAGGGGCAGGCTGCCCGCGAGGAAGCGGAGGGAGAGAGAGGATTCTGGAGGGGGCCCAGAGGCAAGCGGGGGGCCACCCGCTGGGAGGGGGTGCCCCCTCCCCTGCCTGGGCCGGCACGCAGGAAAGAAGTAGGCTCCCGCAGGGAAGGGCATGATCCCAACTCCACTCACTCAGTGGGAGGGGAGGAAGGGCCGGCCGGTGGGCACAGGCTGGACAGAGCTTTATAATGGGGGAGGGGCACGTGATGGGCTGGGCACAGAAACTCCGAGGTTCAGCCTCCGAGGGGCAGTCGGGATCCCTCCCCACCCCTCCCCTCGCCGGCTCAGGCGAGGAAAAGGTGAGCAGCCCGGGCTGCTGCCCTCCTGACAGTGACTGTCGGGGAGTCCCGAGAAGGCACTGTTGGGGGAGAACAGCAGGAGTGCCCGTTCCCACAGGGAGGGCAGCGCAACGGGCCCCCAGGCTCTCGGATGGTAACAATACTGAAGCTCCCCGGTCTGGGGAGCCCAGTTAGCCCAACTTAGGGCTACCTCACGGGTAGGGCAGGTCAGTGGAGGGTCAGTAGTGCAGGTGGGGGGTATCAGCCCAGGGTGGGGAGCCCAGGCGACACATTCCTGGCGAGCACTCCAACTCAGCTGACTGCTCTCTCCACCTCCCCCTCAGCAGGCCTTCAGCCAGGGCATGGCCAGCGTGGGGGAGAGGTGTCCTGCAGGGGTGTGGGGATCTGTGCTGAGCACCTGCAGGGGCTCCCTCCCACCTCCAGGCTGTGCCCTCCTCCCTTCACCCCCCCCCACACTCCTCTCCGGCTATCCCCGAACACAAAGCAGCTTCTGTCCAGAGCATCGGTGCCCATAATCCGGGGTAGGGGCACATTCCGGGGACCAGCCCCGACCGGCCCGGAGGATTAGCATCTCTCCCCCTGCCTGAGGGATTAGCACCCTGGACCCCTACTTGGGCATTAACCACGTCTCAAGTGAATTCGTACATTCCACAGCTTGAGGGCGTGTGTCTACCCGAGGAGAGGAGGGAGGGCGAAGTGAACCCCGGATTTCAGGCACTGCCGCCCCCCAAAACCGGCACAGAGCTCCTCACCCACATATACCGGCCCCCCGGGAGTCCCATCCAACCCTCTGGGTTCATCTTTCTTATTCCCATTCGGCTGGCCCCGCTTTTGCTCGACCCCATGTCCTGACCTGACCCTCAATACCCCTCTCCTGGCTCCGCCTCTGAACCCGGGCCGGAGGCTCCGGGCAAGCCCTAGGCGAGGCGTCCAGGACAGGACTGAAGAACACTGTGGGGATGGGGGGCGGGGAGGGGGTCGTCTGGAGCCCGCCCAGGAGAGGGAGAGCAGGCAGCGCCTCCCCGAGACTACCCCCTCCTGGTGGCAAGGGGGCGCGGCACCCTTGGCTTCACGCAACTTTAAGAAGCGGACCCCCAAATCCCCACTTCCGACCGGGACTCCGCTCGCCTCCCCATCCTCTCGTCCAGACCTTACTTCCCTGCGCCCCAGTCTCCGCCCTTTCCTCCACTTCCACTCCTCCTCGCTCGAGTCCCGAGTTCCCCCCCTCCCTTCCTCCCTCCGCGGCCCTGGCCCTCCCCCGCCGCCACCTTTCCGCTCACCCGCTTGCTCGGCGCTTCGTGCCCCGGGGGTCTCGGGGTCTCTCCCGGTCCTCCAGCGCCCTCGCGCGCTCCCAAATGCTTCCCCGTGCCCACCCCGGGGCGCGCCCCTGCCGCTCCCAACTTCTCCCAACTCAACTTTCCCCCGCGTCGCGGGCAGGCCAGCCCCCAGCGTGCGCGCCCCCCGGCGCACCGTGCGCGGCCCCGCCGCGGCCAGTGGGGAGGCGGAGAGCGGGGGCCGAGGCCAGGGGGTGGGGGCGCGCTTCCAGGCACAACCCGGCACCAGGAGCCGGGCCCCGGAGGCCGCCCCCGCGGGGGGTCTCTCGGCCTGGCCAGGCGAGGCCGCCGCCCAGGCCTTCCCTGCGCGGGGCTCTGGCGCCCGGGGACGCCGTCTCTTGCTCCATGACGGCACTTCTGGGCGGAGAAGAGCCTGCTTTTCGCTGGAGATCCCAGCCGGCACAGGACGGCCGGGAAAGCCAGGCAGTTTCGATACAAACGCAGCAGGGCCAAGACTCTCTTGCGCCCACCTGCACGCAACCCCCCAGGCCTCCAAGAGAAGCCCCCCTGTCTTTGCACGGGGCACGAGGTGATGGCGGCTGGAGGTTGGCTGTCCCTTACCCCGAGTTGACCTAGGACCGGTCACTTTCAGGGACACAAACGCCTCGCGGCGGCCCCCTCCTCGTCCTTGCTACCTCCCACCCTGAATCGAGTCCTGTTCTTTTAAAGAACTTGTGTGCCATCTTGTTTTCTCAATTAAAAATGCGTTTAGGTAAGGATTATATACTTTTTTGTTTTTTTAGTCTGCCACGTGGGTGAAGCACAGCATTGTGTATGCGAAAGCATTCTGATATAAAGGAATTAATCCACAAATTGTCAGCACCAGTTCTGGTTCCTGGCTGCGGAGTGCTATTTGGGGCTGTTTTCGTCCAGTTCACAGCCCGGAAGAATGCAATCATGAGACAATTAGAGAGCAGCACAGGAAAATCTATAATCAACTGCCGTAAGGGATGAGGTAAAGGCTGCTGTAAGTGTAGCATCTGTCTGTGGTCTTGTCTGTAGAGGGGGTAACCAACCTGTCAGCCCTCGTGGGCCACACCCTTACTGCCTCCAGTGGGCTCTGCTCGGAAGACTGGGATCTGGGGGGACTCCCAGGGCTCCAGCCGGCTCGCCTCATCATGGGCTCCGAGACGACAGATGAGGTCCAGCAGAGGGAGAAGTCACCCTTCCAATCCAGCCAGAAATGGCAAACACCTGCCTCTACCCAGCCCTGGGGTCAGCTGGTCCCTGTGAGGTCATCGTTCCTATTCCCCAATCAACCTTGAGGTCACTGGGAGGCCTGGGGCGAGGTGGAAACCCGCGCTGAGGTCGCTCGGAACTCATCATCACCAACCAGGTCAGAGCTGAGCCACTAGGTCCCGGATCTGGGCCGCCAGACCTCAACCCGAGGGCGCCCTACCCCCACCCCGCCGCATTCTGGAACGCGTAGTCCCAGAGCGACCCTTTTCAAGAAGGCACACAGAAAAGGAGTAACAAGAGCGGGGCACACTGGGAACCGTGGCGTCACGGTGGGGACGCCCAAGGAGCGGACGCGTGATGCTTTCTGGGACTTGGAGTCCAGGGTTTGCCTCCGCGGTCGAACCGGAGTCCCGGGAGTCGAGTGCTGCAGAGGACCTTAGCGCAGCCTGCTGGGGGCTGTAGTCCTCTTGCCCGAGTCTCCGGACACCGCTGGGAAACCTGGCCGTCCTAGGACTACAAGCCCCAGAAGGCCATGCGCAGACAGGAGGCGGGGCGGGGCCGGAGGCTGGGGTGCCGCCTCCTCTGCAACGCGGGGCCGGAGTCTTAGAACCCAGGGCCCGCAGGGGTCCCCGCGGCTGCCGTGATGCAGAAATACGAGAAGCTGGAGAAGATTGGGGAAGGTAATAGAACCACGAGATGTTCCTGCAAGATCTTCTTCTGCAGACCCTTCGGGATTCCTTGCAGCCTAGGCTCTCCCGTAGTCTGCGGTACCTGCAGGCTCCGACCTCAGCACTGGCTTGCAGCCCTGGCCCCCAAGCTCAGCACTCCGTGCAGACACCAGCCCTGCCCGTGTTAGCATTCTCCGCGGACTCCCACTCCCAACGTTAGCCTCCCTGTGGAGCCGACCTCCCAGCCGCGGCACGTCCTGCGTTTCCCACGCCTAGCTTCAGCACCACTTGCACATCCTCACCCGGACCCCAGCAGATCTTCAGCCTTGACATTTCTGCAGGCCCTCAGTTCTCTCCCAGAGTCCTGCTATGGCCAGACCTCCCGGAGTGCCGCCCTTATTAGCGCTGTCCTTACCCTGGCCTCCGGCTCAGACCCTGGAGCCTCAACCTTTAGGCCTTCCCTACCCTGCAGCGTCCTCACTTACAAAGCTCTTGCAAGCCTGCCCCTCACCCTGAAGCCTTTCCCTTACACACTCAAGTGCCCTTCCCCCTCCCCATTTCCTGGGGATGGGGAGGGTGCCGCATCCTCCCCCTCATCTATGACCTCCTCCCCTTAGGCACTTACGGAACAGTGTTCAAGGCCAAAAACCGAGAGACTCACGAAATCGTGGCTCTGAAACGCGTGAGGCTGGATGACGATGACGAGGTAGGACCGGGGACACCAGGGCAGGGAGTGGCAGATGAGGAGGCCTGGGGTGAGTGGGATCTGACTGCTGCTCCCTCGCTGTGCAGGGTGTGCCGAGTTCAGCCCTCCGGGAGATCTGCCTGCTTAAGGAGCTGAAGCACAAGAACATTGTCAGGTGTGGAGGGGGCAGGGGGCCCTGCAGGTGGAGGAGGAGGGGGCTTCAGCCTGGTTGGGGTGGTGCAGACGTGCAGACCTGCCTGGCTCAGCCCTTGCTTCTCCGTAGGCTTCACGATGTCCTGCATAGTGACAAGAAGCTGACTTTGGTTTTTGAGTTCTGTGACCAGGTGAAAGGGGATGGGGGTGGGCTGAAAGGGAGCAGGCTTGGGAGGGTGTGGGGCCCAGACGGAGGTTCACCTCTGTCCTGTTCCCCCGCTGCATCCCTTGACAGGACCTCAAGAAGTATTTTGACAGCTGCAATGGTGACCTCGATCCTGAGATTGTGAAGGTGAGGGGAAGGGTGTTCTGGGGGCTCTTCGGGGCTGGGGTTCCGGTCTGTATCCAGTGTCAGCTCTCCTGTTTAGGCACAAATCAGGGACTTTCTGGGGGGGGGGTGTCAGAGAAAGAGCAAACCTGCTCCTGCCCTCCAGGGGCCTCCGGGCTTAGCCAGCATTTCCACATGGCCTCCTTGGACCTGTATAGTGACACTCTGAGGCCAACGGCTATTTCCACCCAAAGAGCTACACTCATTTAATCAACAAACATTTGCTGAGAGTACTAGGCCCGAGACCAAGTGCCTTGGCCCAGGTTCCAGGGGAGTCAGGTCCTGAACCATCCCAGAGCACAATATCCATGTTGATGGTGACAGACTGTACACTCAGGTCCAGCCAGGTAGGGGAGAGAGGCATGGGCTGGGAAGGCAGAAGGCCTATCGGGCTATAAGGTCTGGAAGGGCAGGGAGCAGAGCCACTTGTTTCCTGCTGTACGGGCTGCAAAGCCAACCCTCGGCAGTGAGTGCATATAGTGTTGTCCTGAGCTTGGTGCTGGGGATTGGGTAGGACATGGAACAAAGCTGAGGGTGAGGCAGGGAGCATGCCCATGGCTGGCATCACCTCGTAGCCAGGGTGTCTGACTCTGTCCCCTCTGCCCCTCTCTAGTCATTCCTCTTCCAGCTGCTGAAAGGCCTGGGATTCTGTCACAGCCGCAACGTGCTGCACAGAGACCTAAAGCCCCAGAACCTGCTCATAAACAGGGTACTGCTCAGGGGAGAAGGGGAGGGCAGGGGGCAGGAGCCTGCCCTGAGACGTTTAACAGCCCCGTGCCGTGCCTCCCTCCCGTCTCCCCCCAGAATGGGGAACTGAAATTGGCCGATTTCGGCTTGGCTCGAGCCTTTGGGATTCCTGTCCGCTGTTACTCAGCTGAGGTGAGCTGGGGGGTGGGATTTGGAGTTGAGGGGAGCAGTCCCTGGTGTTTTTCAGCTCCTGCTCCATGACCAACCCGAGACAGTGCCCTCTCTTCTCTGAGCTCCCCTCTCCACCCTCCGTCCCAGCCCTCTAAACGGGAGGGCGTCCCTGTGGGTGGGGTCTTCTCCAGGTGGTCACGCTGTGGTACCGCCCACCGGATGTCCTCTTTGGGGCCAAGCTGTACTCCACGTCCATCGACATGTGGTCAGCCGGCTGCATCTTCGCAGGTGACGTGCTGGGGCGGCTCTGCTCTTTCTCCCCAATCTGGGTTGACAAACAGGGTCTGGAGGGTGCCCTCTCGGGGAAGGGAGTAGGGCCCTCGGGTCCGGGAATGGCAGGTGCAGGGGTGCCTCGGAGTGAGGAGTGCGCGGTGCGTCACGGCTGTGCCCCTCTCACAGAGCTGGCCAATGCCGGCCGGCCCCTCTTCCCTGGCAACGATGTGGATGACCAGCTGAAGAGGATCTTCCGATATCCTTTCGCTGCCCCCAGGGCCCTGAGCCCTGGGCCCGCTGGAAGCGGGTGAGGCCGTGGACCGACAGCACAGGTGTGAGGGTGGCGGTGGCCTTGCCGGGATGGCGGGGTCTGCAGGCTTCTCCTGAGGGTGAGAGGCAGGCAGCTGGCACACGCTGTGCAGAGGTGCGGCCTGCAGGCACAAGGGCACGCTGGGGTGTGCTTCCGGACAAGTTCTTAGGCCAAAGCAGGGGGGTTTTGTGGAAGAAAGGGAAGAACACTGGCTCATTGGGACCCCAGACAGCAGCATTTGGGTTAGTGCTTGCGATGCTCCTGGCCCATCTCGGTGCTGTGCATGTGGCACTGAATATGCCAGCCACGTGCTCGGGACCTTCTTCCGTCACGAGCCAGGGGGACAGAGTAATGGGGGGCTGAGGGGGGCTGGGGTGGGCATAAGGAAGCCTCTCCTGGGGGGAGCCCCTGAAGGTACAGGTGCAGCCCTTTCTGCGAGTGACCCTTGACCCTGTGGACACGCTGCTGGGGACACCAACTGAGGAGCAGTGGCCCGCTATGACCAAACTGCCAGATTATAAGGTGTGACGGGGGTGGGGGAGGGTGGTGATTCAGTAGGGTCCCTCTCAGCTCAGTCTCTGTGGCCCTGACTCCCTCTGTCCCTCCACAGCCCTACCCAATGTACCCGGCCACAACGTCCCTGGTGAACGTCGTGCCCAAGCTCAACGCCACAGGGAGGGACCTGCTGCAGGTAGAGACCAGCGGCAGAGGGTGGGGCTGGGAGCAGGGGAGGCGGAGCTCTGGGCAGCTGACCTGGCCTGAATGTACCTCTGCCTTCCTTCCCTGTGTCCAGAACCTTCTGAAGTGTAACCCTGTCCAGCGCATCTCCGCAGAAGAGGCCCTGCAGCACCCTTACTTCTCAGACTTCTGTCCCCCCTAGGCTCTGGGACACTTGCCTGCCAGGCTGGGGCCTGGCCTTATTTAAGCCCCACTCCCAGGAGGGGAGGAAAAGTGGGGGGTGCACTGTGTGCTGAGCTCCAGCTGTGCTGGGTCCAGCCAGGGTGGAGGTGCCCTGGCCCGTGGTCTTTACCCTTCTCCATGGACTTTATTTAATTTCATAAATTGGCTCCTTTCCCACAGTCTGCTGATGTGGTGGTAGGGTGGCTCTGAAGGGGGTGTGGACTGGGGCGGCGGGGGGGTCCTTGCCTTGCTTACCACCCTCTGCAGCCTGGCTCTTCCTGCTCAGACCCAGCCCAGCACTAAGCAGTCGCGACCCAGGGCTGCCCCCCACTCACCCCTCTTGGCTGGGCTCAGGGCAGCACTGTGCCACACCCCTCCCTCCCTCTGCCCAGGACACAGCCCCGGAGGGCCGGGCAGCCAGCACCTGAGCAGGGCTGAGCTTCATGGCAGTGTGGAGAAGAGGGCTAGACCTCTCCCGCTGGCCCTCCTCCTCCCTGCCCTCCTCACTGCTCTACCCGGGCCTGCAGGCTGCAGCAGAACAGACCCAAAAGTGTGCTTCCATCAGGAACACCCCCCCTCCATCCCCTTCTTCTTTGTCAGTTTTCCAGTCTTTGGGGTACACAGAAAGATAGGGGGGCTGAGCCTGTGGCCGGCGCCCGAGCAGGAGGGAGAAGAGAGGGCTCCTTCTACTTCTCCTTCTCCT